AGAGAAAGAGAGATTAATGATTTCAGCGATGATTGGGGCCAATTCATGACAACAAAGTTTAACCAATGATGTAGGAATAGGGTCCAACTTACTGGAAGCATTCGAAGATTCAAGGATAATCCTCCGAACTTCATCCTCAGAAACCGAAGAAAATTCATCCAATTTCACTTCAGGCAGATGGAATGGAACATTAGGTGGGTTAATGGAAATCTCGTCAATCTTTGATTTCACGAGTTCAATTTTCTTACAAAAGAACTCACCAAACTCGTTAGCAAGGATGGAAGGATCGCGATTTTCAGGAAACTGCTCAACTAGACGTTCTTTGCTCAAAGAGTTCACAATTTGGAATAATTTTCTAGAATCACCAGCAGATTTGTCAATGAGGTTGGAATAAAACATTTTTCTGGTGTCATTCAATATAGCACTGTTGTCATCGCGTACCTTACAATAAGCATTCTTATCACATTCAAGTTTCGATTTAAGCATGATTCTTTCCAGTTTCCTACGTTTAGCTTTCAGCTTCTTTAAACTATCATTAAACCAAGGAACCATTGGTCGAACAGTCATAACTTTCGATTTCAAAGGAGCATGCTTATCGAGAATAGAACGTAGGGTAATATCATACCATTTTGACATATCATTAACACTTGACCAAGTTTTCTGAAATAGATCTGAGGCGCATATATCAGCTTTAAAGGCATTGAGGTCAATATGTTTAACTTTGCGATAGCAAACTTCTTTAACTAGGATGTTTGGGGGAGGAATATCCAACAAACATTCAACAAAAAAATGATCAGACAAAGCAAACGTCGCCAAAGGAGAGGTGATTGTGACATCATTAATTGATCTAGTGATAATCAAATCAAGGGTATGACCTGATGAATGAGTTGGGACATGATCATGTTGGATAAGTCCAAAAGTATTCTTTAAGTCCGCAAACTTTTTCGCGTCTGCTTCGGTTGGACAATCAACGTGAAAATTAAAATCACCTGTAATCAAGAGTACTTCGGGAATCATAACGATGTTTTCCAAGTATGATGAAAACTCTTCGAAAAACACATTTGGTGAAACCGGGTGATCTTCCGAGTAAGGAGGTCGATAGATTGTCACCACTTTAATGGTTTGCTTGTGCACACAAACATTCCACTCCGAGAATTCAAACGAATTAAATTCCCCACAGTCACTGGATTTTACATTTAACGATTCTTTGCACAGAATACCCGTGCCGCCACCACTTCTACCAGACTGTCTTGGGAAAGATCTAAACACAAATCCTGCAGTAGATAGTCCAGCAATGCTGACAGAGTCACATTCCTTCAACCACGTTTCAGTGATAGTACATATATCAATACCGCTATCAACCATATGATCAATGATAACGGCGATCTTGTTCCTTACAGAGCGCGAATTAACACAAGCAAAGCGTAAAAGCGTATTTCTACGGTTGAAACTTTTCCCTGGTACTGGAACCGATTGATTTTCCATTTGTATTTGTTCAGGACAAAGCTGTAGTGTTGTTAATTGACTAGGTTTTGCATTATTACACGATAACAAATTCAACGCTTGCACGCGTTGAGTTTTACCATGAAATAGAAGAACTAGATAAGCGGCAAAGAACATGATTTATTTGGATTTTTCAAAAGCTTTTGTTTCTGTTTCCCATCAAAAACTTCTTTTTAAACTCGAACCAGATGCCATCTCTGGCTCATTGTTAAATTGGTTTTCGGATTGCCTAACGAAAGATCGTCAACGAGTGGTGGTCAACGGAGCCACATCTTCCTACCTTAACGCTAATCAGGGGTTCCACAAGGAAGTATACTTGGTCCTCTTCTATTTTTAATTTATTCAAACGATCTTCCTAGCTGACGCATCAAATTACAGCGTGGTTCCTAGTTTGTAGATGACAGTAAATGCACCGAGAAATTGTTGAACCAGAGGACAGAAATCTTCTTCAAGCTTCCCTCAATTTTCTCCACCAAAGGTCATCTACCCAGGATTTAAATTTTAATGCCAAAAAGTATGCTGCAATGCGTTTTTCTCGGAAGAAGTGTTCAGTTCCACCTCAAGATTACATAAATGACCAACCAATAAAGTTTTCCACCATTCAGAGTGATCGGGGAAATCTGGTGAGAAACAATCTGAAATGGTCGTTGCATATTAACAACTTGGTATTCGAGGCTGATAGAATACTTGTGTTTCTTCGACGTAATTGTTTCCATCTCACTGCAATGTTTGGACGCCCCAGGGACCCTCATCTGATCTGTTTCGTCTTGAGAGTATTCAACGCCGTGCCACCAAGTTTATTCTCCAAGATTATGAGCCTTCCTACCTGGATCGTTTAAAGAAACTAAACCTGAATCCTCTGTGGTACTGGCTCAAAATGAGGGAATTTGCATGTGTTTTATAATAAATGTAAAACTGGGATATACGAACTCGATATTGATCGGTATATTTTAAAAAACTTCTCTATCATTCAACCCGTTCCAGTTCTGGTGACCTTTTGAGTCCAAACGTATGTAGAAAAGTTCTCTCTAGAAACTCATACTTCAATAACATTGCGTATTTATGGAACTGCTTGCCTTGTGATGTCAGATTATCCTCTTCTCTTTCTGTCCTCAAAAATAAACTATAGAGTACTACAAAAATAAACTGATTTCGATATTCGATGAAGACAGGCCTAGAGCTTGGAAAACACTGCCCATGCAGTAAGTGTCGTTCACTGAAACAAACTGTTGCTCGTGAATGTCTGATATTACAATGCTCGATGGGTAAATTATTTGTAAGGCGTTGCATGATCGATTTCTTGATTTTAAAATCCGATTTTTTCTTGATTGAATTTTTTTTTAAATTAGTAGATAATTTTCGGTAATCGATTATCTTAATTTGAATTTATCCCTCGAGCAAGCCAAATAGTTAATTGTTCAATTTAGATTACAAATTGTAATTTTTCTGTAGTTTTGTATATATGTGTCTCTTAGTTTCTATTTGGGCTTCTTCGCCACTTTTTGTTCAAAATAATTGTTTTTTCTGTCAACTTATATATCTTTCTAATAACATTTTATTATTATAATAACTATTACTTATTTGTATTGCGGTAAACCAAATCAATAAATCATTCATTCATATTTTGGTGGGACTTAATAAGGGACTTATGTTCTGTTCTCCTTACCATCGATCTTTAAATATGATTGTTAAGCAATAAAAAAGATTTAACAAACCTGCAGTGCAGTTGATTGAGTATTAGTATCTTGGATCGTAAATTACATGAATAATTGCATCAGTAATTGACGAGAGTTTGTCCCGACCTGAAACCGACAATTAATAATATGGTTTTGTGACCATTTTTAGGTTGAAATATTTTTGATAAAATAAAATTAATTTATTAGTAACATCCAGCATCCACCGAATCTCCAAGTGGCATCTCCTCTTGCAGGTTCAGTAAACTGCTTATGGTTAGGCCTATGTGAATTAATTTCACTAAACGGGACCAGGTAGTTGAGATTACTGTCCTTATTATTAGCATGACAAAATTACTGAATGCTGATTGGTTGAGAGGAGTACAATTATTTCATTAATTGTACTGCAGTACAATTAATGGTTTTCCCAAAACAAACAAAATGGCGGAAAGTTATTTTAAACACAGATGTGAAATGAAATTGCCGTGAAGGAACTAGATGAAAATACGAACAAAAGCACCAACTTTTGCTTGAACAAAAGAACTAAATGAAAATACAAACAAAAGCACCAAATTTTGGTTGAAAGTCTGGCAGAACTGGGCTTTGGCGAGAGAATATGATGTTGACATTGAGAAGTACGTATCCAATTTTGTCATGCTAATAATAAACAACTCGCCCCGGCGGCTCGTCCAATTTTGGAAAAATTTCCAAACATCACGAGAACTATTAATCCCTAATTGTACGAGCAACATCGCATGATTACCTATACTAATAACGATTCTGTCTCAATGTAACTGGATTATATTTACTTTAGCCATGTGTATCAATATTGTTAGCAAGCAAATTGATCAGTCTTTTAATGTCCTACTCTCTGCCATTTTTCAGGAGCGGACCACGAACCCTGAAGAATTCCCGAGGGAGTTTATTTCTGGATCATGGCAAGGATTCTGGTGGGCATTGGTAACTATGACAACAGTAGGGTAAATATCTATAATTCCTTAACCTTGGCCAATAGTTGATTTATGATATAGCGTTTTCATGTCATCTATTTTAACACAGTTTTCTTTATAATACGTTGAAACTATAAACATTAGGGCAAGGTATGTCAGGAGACTATTGAGGTCTTAGGAACCTGGAGAGAAATATCTTTGCGTTATAATCGGGTATCGCAGCGTTTGTAACATTTCTTATTTAATTAAACAGTTCAGTAATTATTTGACCTATCTTATAACGTTTCCTTAGGCTACAGGTGCTCACGTAACTAACCGAGTTCTTATCCAATCATATTATCAATTCCCGTCTGATCTACTTTTCAGTTTAATTTCAGCTCCCCCTAACGTTTAGACGCTCTTACCTCTCAAGTAGTGCTGAAGAAGATAAAACAACATAACAACGAAGGCGAATTGAATTGTTTTTCTTTATCCTAGAAATAAAACTAATATTTGTCTGAGAATTTCTACAGGAATGATTAATCCATGACATGTATTTATTTATTTATTTATTTTATATATGAAGCCACTTCTTTGTGATCTTCGTAATTCCACAGCATTTTCGACATTTATATAGTACGGTGCTGCGGAGACGTTATTGCACTTGCAGTAACTGCACAATAACCAAGGAACCAGCGATCTAGTTTTGCGCGGGAAACATGAATATGACGTGACATTTTTTACAACGTTCCATAAGAGCTGAAAGCACCGTTTTATCATAATATATACCTTTCTTAGCTATGGAGACAAAGCCCCGAAGTCTGTTGCTGGTCGATTTGTAACAATTTGCTGGATGATGATTGGTATGGTATTTTTCTCCATTTTAACTGGCACAATGACGGGAGTTCTTTCAATGACAGCGGAGCCCAAGGACGCGACCATGTTTGGCAAAAGGGTAAGTCTCTTCTCTTTTTCTTCTAGTGGAGTTATTAGTAGTTGCTACTGAAGGGATTTTGCGGTTCGTAATTGGTGGTATAAACACAGCGGAAATGCAATGTGCATTACGTGCTGGCGGTCCTAGGAAAATAACGAGGTGGTGATAGTGATCCATAATGATTGGAGTTCTATTTATGACAAAAGAGGCTAAACATGTCGTCTTTTTATGGCACAAGGATAACCTTTCGTTTGTAAAATGTAGCTTCACTACATCGACAGAATCGCATACCAAAAGTGAAAAATCTCAGACAAACACTTTTTTTTATTGCAGGTTGCAGTTCTAACAGATTCTGAAGAAGTACAAATTGCAATGAGAGAGAGTGCTTATGTTGTTGGTAGGTATAAATACATACTAAATCAACGGTGTCATTAATCATGCTGTGTTGGGTCGACTTTTGCTTGTGTAATATCTCTGTACCTCCGTTGCCTCCATTTAGGGAGCACTCACAAAAGATTGTTGGGAGGGGCTCATGAAAAAATATCCACCACTAAAACATTTTTGTAAATCTATTTGCCACGTCACAAAATTTTCCGAGAACCCCCTTCGTCGAGCCCTGGAATATGAAACACCCCGAACGGCCTACCTTCTTTCTTTCTTTCTTTCTTTCTCAAAGTAAATTTGTATAATAAACAGGTTTCCTTGCTTTTTCTGGCATCAATATTCAATAATACAGCTAATCGCTTTCCGTTCTTCTCCTTTTACCATTATCCTTCTATCAGATCTGGTAGATAATTCCTCTTCTTCTTTTTCTTTTTCTTTTCTTTCTTCTTCTTCCTCGTCTCCTTCTTCTTCCTCTTCGTCTTCAATTTCCTTTTTTTCATATTTCATTTAAACCATATCCTCACTATCGTCGGCTCGCTTCCTATTCTGCTGTCATCAGTCATCCACTCTTCTTCATTGTCACAAGAGTCATCCGGGCTCTCGTTAATATGCTCTCCCCTGTTGTTCTGGAATAATCGTGTAATATACTTTCTAATTTGCCTTTCTTTGACAAGTATTTACGTGACAGTTCATGATAGTCCATGTCCGCCTTCCAGTTCTTTCACAGTTAGTTTCTGCAAGTTTCTCCATTTTCCTGCTTTCTTTCACGACTATTCGTGTCATTCAACAGCGTTAGCTCATCGCAGTGCTTTACACAGTTTTCAAGTAAAATCCAAGGCCACACACAATTCTGTATTAAGTTCTGTCATTTGCGGTTTATCGGAACTATGTAGTTCCCCAGTACCAAATAATTTGTTTAATTTTTGCCCGTGGTATAAGAAGTCATCGATCGATCTCTCGAAGCGACCCATCTGAAGTTGTATCTGGAGTACTGAAAACATCTAAGTAATGATCTTCTCTTGTCTTCCTCGTTTGAAAGAGTACAAGGTATACGCACCATCACAGTTGTCAACCATTCTGTACTTTGGCAGTAATCACATTTGTGTGGAGCATATGATTCGCGAAGGAATTCTAGGTACAACTCTCCTGGCTGAAAGTGTTTGCATTTCGTGCTATCCAGGAACAGAATGCTTATTACCAGCTGTTGCATCTTAATAGTCTTTTACATAAGCTTTGTTGAAAAAATGAGAGTCTTTCAGAGATCTCCGCAACTCTCCATGAAAACTTGGGAAATATTCCCAGTTTAATGTACTACCATCAACAAACGCATCTCCGATAGCACAGCTTGTCCTTTCAGCCTCATTCTGGCGTGTATCGCCCCTATATCTGTGGAGTCTGACGTAGTGGTTCAGGATTCCGGAGGCGACATATTTCTGCTACTCCGAATTGGACATCAAAAATCGGTACCAGATACACCTTCATGGTCCTCTATCGGTTAGCTCTGTCCACCTGGGCTTTATCACTCATTCATTCGTTCGTTTGTTCATTCGTTCGTTCGTTCATTCATCTCTATACTTCGATCATTAAAGTCAATGATAATCTCCTGGGCAATTGACGCTAATATATGTGGAACAGTTAATGCATGATATTAAACAATTATTGATGAGGCTGTGGACGATATCAAGAATTATTCACAAGCTTTCGTTGGTATGGATGCAACTACCTGAAAAATGTAAGGAGAAGTTTCTCCTTGTATTTTCCAGGTAGTTGCATCCCCACCAATGAAACTTGTTATTATTGGCACTATACCTGCACTGGCACAGACCATTCAAGAATTATTCAGGCTTATCTTCGAAACGAAGCTGAGATGGATTACTTTTACCGAGTGGTTATTTATTTAGCGCAGGAAATGTGAAAAGAACGCAAGGAAAATTAAATCACTTGGTCAAACAAGCTTTTCACAGAACTTGCGTCGAAGAATAGATTGTATACACGCTGACAGTTAATTTTATTTTCCGTTTTAGAATACAACACAGTTGCAGATATTATTCAAGCAGTTAGGAATAATGATGTCAGTTTTCTTTTGTTGGATCGTTTCATTGTGAACGCTTACTTAGCGGAATTTAGCCGCTATGATTTCAAAGTTACGAAACTTATCGACAACGGTTGTAGTTACTTTGTCTTCGTGATTAGTTCAATAGAAGATTTTTCAAAAAATTTGGCAGAATGTTTTAAAAGGCAGAAGTTTGTTATTCAAGACGCTACACAGGTAAGTCAGATATTTCTCTTTCATTAACAGAAAAATAGCTTATTAAATATTAATATATATATACACAACAATAACTTGTGTTAAGACACATGCATACCCTACATGACTCTATAGTGATATATTTGTTCGCGTGAAATGCTTGATTTTAGTGTCGGGAAATGCGATTTGTTCTACAGCCGTGAGGCGTGATTGTTGATAAAAATGCTCCGTGAAATGAGAATTAAGGATGTCTGTTTCGTGAACTGTGATTTTGCTTTGTTTATTTCAATCTACTTTATAATAGTCATAATAAACATGATACGCGATAATCAAATTTATATGATCTCATTTATATGATCTCTCGATTGCACAAGAGTAAATGTCCTCATTCTGAGGACAAGGTTCCTCACTATGAGGACAAGGTTCCTCACGCTGAGAACAAGGTTCCTCACGCTGAGGTCAAGGTTTCTCACGCTGAGGACAAGGTTCCTCACGCTGAGGACAAACTTCCTCACGCTGAGGACACGGATTCCTCACGCTGAGGACAAGGTTCCTCACGCTGAGGACGAGGTTCCTCACGCTGAGGACGAGGTTCCTCACGCTGAGGACGAGGTTCCTCACGCTGAGGACGAGGTTCCTCACGCTGAGGACGAGGTTCCTCACGCTGAGGACGAGGTTCCTCACGCTGACGACGAGGTTCCTCACGCTGACGACGAGGTTCCTCACGCTGAGGACGAGGTTCCTCACGCTGACGACGAGGTTCCTCACGCTGAGGACGAGGTTTCTCACGCTGAGGACGAGGTTCCTCACGCTGAGGACGAGGTTCCTCACGCTGAGGACGAGGTTCCTCACGCTGAGGACCAGGTTCCTCACGCTAAGGACAAGGTTCCTCACGCTGAGGACACGGGTTCCTCACTCTGAGGACAAGGTTCCTCACTCTGAGGCAGGGCATTTTTTAAGAATTCGTCAGTGGGGGGGGCATCTACAAAAAGGGACCATACTATACCTAGTGTGGGGAAATGATAGATGGTTTGTTGGTAACAAAAAGTTTGGTGTGGTATCGCATTTAAATTTAGAGTCTCTGAAATGCCATTTCCTGGACTTTGGGGAAGATTTGACAGATTTCTGATTGTCAGAAAACAGCGTTTTAGTATGTCGAAATTTACAATTCAGTAGTACTAAATGGGCGAAAGTGTATTTAATTAACGATATATTGGATAAGTTGCAGGAAAGTATTGGTAATATCTTCATTCTTTGCAGTTTGTCATGGATTAAATGATAAAGATCTGCATGATTTTGAATGATTATTAGCAAATGAATGATTATTAGCAAGTTATTGGGGGGGGGGGGCTGCAGGCCCCCGCCCTCCGTCTACCCATATGACTGCAATTCCCTGCATTTTCTGAAACAGATTTTTGGATATACAGCATTACATTATGTTGTAGATAGACTGAACCTTCAGTTAAGTACTTCCATAGTATGTTTATGTAGATACCACAACTTGGCCGTCACTTAGGGAGCCAGCTTGATAAACTTAGAGGGCCCGACTCCTACGAAGCGCTACCATGGTTGGCACAGAGCGGAAAGAGTTTGAAAATTTTGCGTCTCTAAATCGTCGGAAATGGCATTTTCAAAGTCTTCTATACGTCTTTTGTTATGCCCTTTCATTAATTCGTTCATTATGCCTTTGTGAGTCTATGCTATCCGCGAGTCAGGATGGATTATTACGAGAAATGTTGTTAACAAAATATCGATTGCAGATATTGGATTATATATATATATATATATATATATATATATATATATATATATATATATATGATTTCAAATACTTCTAGTTTCGAAATCAAATTGGTTTTTTTTGGTGGGGGGCCAAAATTATCCCCCCCCCCTTATAAAAGACTTGGTTGAGGGCCTGTTGCCCCCTGCGGTCACTAACTTGTCCAACAACTCAAATCTATAGGGTCTGGGAAATGCAATCCATTGCCTGGAAAATGTTTAAAATCTAATAAGGTATTTATTAAAGATAAAAGACAGGACATAAGATTCACAAAGCAAATTTCAGTTACTAGAATATCAATCCTCCCTTCTAAATTCCATGTTTTGCTTATATTTTAGAGAAAAGGGACTTTGAGTGGGGGGGCCAAAATGGTTGAGTGGGGGGAGGGGCACCATGCATGGGGGCTGGGGGGGGAGCTTTGGCCCCCCAGTTATATAGTTAAAAAATGCCCTGCTCTGAGGACAAGGTTCCTCATTCTGAGGACAAGGTTCCTCACTCTGAGGACAAGGTTCCTCACTCTGAGAACACACGCGGAGGTCGTCGTACATGCTCGTCACTCAAACTTGTAAGTTATGATGTAGTTTTTAACTGACAGGTAGAGAAGTGAGAGAACTTAAAGCGTAGATACTGTACCATGCATTAAACATACTCTTAATAAACCTATTATTATTATATTATTTTATTAGAATCTAGTTTTCTGTGAAATTGCTTTTTTAAGACACGTGAATCGTGAAACGGCTTTTTATATACATATATATATATATATAAGATGAAAATGTTCTAGAGTGTGTATTATATAATTTCCATACCCAGCGCAAGCAGAAAGATGTTGTCTGCCGCGGCTGAGTCTCGAACCCGCGACCTTCGAATTACTAGATCGACGCTCTACCTACTGAGCTACACGGTCAGACGGATTTAAGACTGGAAATTATGAAATATATACTGAATGTCATAAACATACTCGTTTATATTAATTCAGCATCGAACAATACTAGTGCCGCGGCAGACAACATCTTTCTGCTTGCGCTGGGTATGGAAATTATATAATACACACTCTAGAACATTTTCATCTTAACATATTACAGAGTGTACAATAACACAACTAACATAACACTTGCAGAACTAGTATTGTTCGATGCTGAATTAATATAAACGAGTATGTTTATGGCATTCAGTATATATTTCATAATTTCCAGTCTTAAAATCCGTCTGACCGTGTAGCTCTGTTGGTAGAGCCGACATCTAGTAATTCGAAGGTCGCGGGTCTGCTTGCGCTGGGTATGGAAATTATATAATACACACTCTAGAACATTTTCATATATATATATATATATATATAATATATATATATATATATATATATATATATATATATATATATATATATATATATATATATATATATATATATATATATGCCCCGACATTTGAAGCATGTAAAAGAGCAATGATTTTTATTCGTCCACAATCTAGTTGGAATAGTTAAACGTCTTGGCCTAAATATGCTGCAGCCAATTAAAGTGAGTCACGAAAGACTCATGAGCCTTTTTATCATTTAACATTTTTATCAAGAAATTATTAAGGACTTTACTCTAAAATATAAAGAACTTTGTGACAGATTACGCAACATTACTTTAAATTTATTTGTTATCGTAATACTTCATGTAATAATATAAGAAATATATCAAGTTTCAAACATGGCGCCCAACGTCACGGCAACGTGTCTTTAGTTTATCGAAAAAGTTATGTTTTAGCGCTATGACCGATCAATTAAAAAGGAAAAAGGCTACCCGTCGTGGGGGGAACAGAGCAGTTATAACGAAATACAGTAACGAAGCGAAGAAATTATTGGCAAATGGAGAAAATATCGACGAAAATACGAAGGATCGTTTAAACACGATCTTCTTGAGGAAAAATTACAAGTAGTAAAGAAATTCGACGAAGAAATCTTACAGTTGTGCGAAGTTAAAGAAATAGAAAACGAGATTGAAGTATCCGAGGAATTAAATTCACGAGTTCTTGATGTTAAAAGACAAATATCGTCTTGATGTTAAAAGACAAGTAAGTTTTTTGCGAAGAAAATCGACGATACGGGAAAAGTACCTATTCACGATATATCTATACCTGGTCAAAATACCCCTCAAGTAGAAATAACAGAGGTAGGTGAAATTTCATCTGAAATTAATGTCAATAATGAAACAATAAACGAACAGGACAATGTTAACTCCACCCAAGATCCTACACCAAGTAACCCAACCTTAATTCACCCAGACCCTAGTAGTCCAGCACCCAGTAGTCAATCAAGTGGAAATTACGTCATAGGTTATGGTGCAAAAACGAAGCTTCCAAAGTTAACTTTACCCCGGTTCAGAGGAGATCTTACTGAATTTCAACCATTTTGGGATAGTTTTGAAAATGCTGTCCATACGAATACAAGTTTGTCAAGCATTGACAAATTTAATTACTTATATTCCTTGTTGGAGGGTTCAGCATTACTGGTTATTAAGGGGTTGGCTTTGACTGAAGAAAACTACAAAGTTGCAATAGATATTCTCAAACAACGTTATGGAAATACACAAGTTGTCATATCCGCCCACATGGATGAAATGTTAAAACTTCCCGATTGTTCGACTGGAAAGGTACGCGATCTTCGAAGAGTATATGATAAAATTAATGTTAACGTAAGAGGGCTTGAGGCCCTTGGAGTAAAATCGGAACAGTATGTTAGTCTACTTATTCCAGTTATTATGTCAAAACTACCACCTGAGTTACGAATCCATGTTGCAAGAAAGACTGCCAGTGAACTTTGGAAAATTGACGATATTCTGGAAATTATTCGAAAGGAAGTGGAAGCACGGGAGATCAGTGAGAGTGTTCGTACAAGCAATTCTAGTTTTAATGACATTCGCAAGAAAAATGAAGTATGGAAACCAAATCGACAGCGGAATTACAGTTCATCTGCAGCAATCGTTAAAGATGGGAAAAATGAGCGAAAGATAAAATGTGTCTATTGTGAACAATATCATTACTCAGCATCGTGCGAACATGTGAAAGATGTGGATGATCGAAAGGGCATTTTAAGAGATCAGGAACGTTGCTATTTATGTTTGCAAGGTGGTCATTGTGCACATGAATGTGAAAATGGCAGGCTCTGTCGTTGGTGCAATGGCAAACACCATCAATCTATTTGTACTAAAGCTACCAAAACACTTCGAAAGATTAATCCTGAAGAAACAACAAAACCAGAAGCGAAAGAGGAGAAAAAGGAAACGCAGAACCTCACAACAACTACAACATCCAACGGCTCATCAAAGGTGTTTTTGCAAACTGCCACGACATATGCTTATTCTCAACATAGCAACAGAGCTATTCCTGTTCGAGTGCTTTTAGACAGTGGTAGTAAAAGATCATACGCAACCAATCATCTGAAGAAACGACTTGGCCTTCAACCAGTAAAGAAAGAAACGCTTAACTTGAACACATTTGGGCAGGATAAATTCACAAAACAGAAATGTGATGTTGTTAGTTTAAACCTAAAAGGCAAAGAAGGCAAAGATATCGAAATTTCATCTCTTTGTTTTGAAAAAATCTGCTCACCTATTCCTACCAAGATTGAGCTCGATAAATATCCGCATTTGATGGGATTGGATCTTGTTGATTCCTCTCTCGCCGAGAACAGTCATGATGAAATCGACATCTTGATAGGATCTGATTATTATTACGACATTGTAATTGGGGAAATTATAAGAGGAGAAGGTGGTCCAGTGGCTGTCAACAGCAAATTTGGATGGGTCCTCTCTGGGCCATTGAGAGACACTGGAAAAAATAACAATGCAACATTATCGCACTTATTAATCGAACGAGAAGAACCTGCAACATATCTATTGCCCAGCAGCATCAAACGTGATGATAACCTGACAGATAGTCTTCAAAGATTCTGGGAGACCGAATCGATTGGTATCAAGAATAATACGTTTAGTGAAACCCAGACAACGGAATTTCTACCCGAGATACATTTTGATAAAGGCGAAGGAAGATATGTTAATCTGCCTTGGAAACAGGACTGTTTTCCAAAGTCAACAGGATATATGGTATGTGTGTCAACAGATTACGACAATTGCATTCACGTCTGAAGAAAGACAACACTCTTCTGGAAGAATATAATAAAGTCATTCAGCAGCAAATAAATAGTGGTATCATTGAATCAGTACCAGAAAAAGACGACAACGAGGGTTACTACTTACCACATCATGGAGTGTTGATGTCCGAGAGAGAGACTACAAAACTACGAGTGGTTTTCGATGGATCAGCAAGACCGGATATAGACAGTCCATCCATAAATGAATGCTTGCAAAAGGGTCCCAACCTTATACCGCCTTTATTTGATACAATAACAAATTCAGAAGTTATTCAGTGGGGATTGTTTCTGATATTGAAAAGGCGTTTCATCAGGTGCAGATTAGTCCATCCGATCGTTGTATGCTGCTTAGGTTCCTTTGGTTCGATGACATTCGAAAGGACAATCCCACTTTTAAAAAATTCCAATTCCGACGCCTTGTATTCGGCTTAACACCGAGTCCAGCAATTTTGTACAACCGTGATACAAAATCATTTATCACAACATGACGAAAAAGGTTCTGCTGTACCCCAGCTGTTAAAAGAATCGCTCTACGTTAACGACTTCGCAGGAGGAGCTGTTAATGATCAAGAAGCATTGAACATTTACGATAAATCTGAAGATGTAATGAGGAAGGGTGGATTTGTTTTGCGTAAATGGAATTCGAATTCCAAGGTTTTACAAGATCGAATTGAGAAAGATACATTGTCAAACGGAACACAAACGACATCAAGTTCAGTTTTCGAAAGTGAAAAAGAGATTGATTCAAAACAACATAGCAAGGAAATTACGCCTGTCAATATATTAGGATCTAACTGGAACGTTAAAACTGACAAATTCCAATTCGGTTTAAAGGAACTGGTTGAATATACCAAAACACTACCCGCTACAAAGAGATCTGTACTAAAGGCTTCAGCAAAGATTTTTGACCCAATTGGAATACTTAGTCCATTTACAGTCAATCTTAAGATCTTATTCCAGTTGCTTTGTTGTGATCGCGTAGATTGGGATGAGAAACTTGATGAAAATTCATTAGCATGTTGGAACTCGCTGTTACAAGGATTAGAGTCAATCAATTCAATTGAAGTGCCAAGATGCTACTTCAGTCGTTTCAAAGTGCCAATAACGAGCCAGCAAATCCATGGGTTTGGTGATGCCTCCGGAAAAGCATACGCAGCGGTAGTTTATCTGCGAACAGAGAATGAAGACCATCATGTTGAAACCAACATTATAGCATCCAAGACAAGAGTCGCTCCGATACGAAAGCTGTCTATTCCTAGGTTGGAACTTCTAGGAGCTACTATCCTTGCTCGATTGGTTAGCTCGATTAGCAAGATCCTTTGGTCTCGATTAGTAAATCCGAAGATATTTATGTGGACGGATTCGTTTACCGTACTTTGTTGGATACAAAATGATAAACCGTGGAAACAATACATACAGAGAAGAGTCGACGAAATTCGAAAACTCGTTGGAGAGGATAAATGGATGTTCTGCCCAGGAGAATTTAACATTGTGACTTACCTTCGCGAGGTTGTAGTGGAGCAGCACTGATTAAAAACGACGAATGGTTCCATGGTCCTAAATTCCTGAAGTTATCAGAAGAAAACTGGCCGAAACCTCCTCGATGTAATGGACCAGAAAGTGAAATCGCATTATCGGAAACGGTGAAATCAGTCAACAAGTCAACAACTCATTCCCTTACAGTCTTACAGAAGAAACATAACACAGCTAGTGTCGGAAAGGGTGGTGGATTGTCATCGATATAGTTCGAAAACACGATTATTACGAGTAACGGCTTACGTATTTAGGTTCATAAGGAGGATTAAAGGACAAACCGTAGATAAAACGCTAGAACTATCAGCAGACGAACTGATCGAAGCCGAACAGATATGGATAAAGGATATTCAGAACAATATGTTTTCCGAAGAAGTTAAACAATTAATTAATCGTACGAAAACTTCCAGCTCAAGGCTTGATCAACTACGCTTATTTCTGGACGACAAAGGAATGATACGCTGTGAAGGACGAATTGAACATTCTTCTGTTTCGTCTGAAGCTAAGAAACCTGTACTCCTTCCCGCAAAGCATCACGTTACAGATTTGATCATCCAAGAACATCACGATTCAACAAACCACACTGGTATTAAAGGAACACTGAACCGTATTCGAAAAAGATATTGGATCCTACATGGAAGGCAAGCAGCCAAGCGAGTTCTACGTAAATATGTGACTTGTAAAAGATTAGAAGGGAAGCCGTACCCTACGCCCAAGACTCTACACCTACCATCTTGGCGAACAAGTGATGACCCTCCCTTTAGTTACACAGGAGTGGATTTCGCTGGACCCCTCAACGTCAAAGAGAACTCAAAGTGTGGTAAACAATCAACAAAAAAGTCATACATCGCTCTATTTACTTGTGCGTCAACACGGGGAATTCATGTAGAACTGCTTCGGAGTTTATCGGCAGAAGGATTCTTACAAGCATTTCGTAGATTTTCAGGTCGCAGAGGACTTCCAAGAATGATAATTTCAGATAACGCAAAGACATTTAAATCCGCTATCAAGGAACTGTCAAAAAATTAATCGTTCTCCCGAAGTGCAACAATATCTCGCAAACAATGGCGTTTCTTGGAAATTCATTATCGAAAAGGCCCCATGGCACGGGGGTTTTTGGAAACGTTTGATAAAGAGTGTTAAAAGATGCCTAAAAAAGTCCATTGATCGAGCTACGTTATCGTTTGAAGAGTTACGCACGATCTTGATCGAGATTGAGTCAACGCTAAATAATCGTCCAATTACGTACATATATGATGATGAAGAAGGGATATCGTACCCCCTTACGCCATCTTGTCTACTTTATGGACGGAGAACGACGACTACGCCAGACGACAGCCAGTTCGAGATAGTGAGCACAAACGAGTCTTTGACAAGACGAGCTCAACATCACAAAACTCTACTAAAGCAATTCACTAAACAATGGAGACGAGAATATTTGCTAAGTATTCGCGAAGCTGCGAGCTCGAGTAACAACGGTACAAGGGACGTAATTGCCGAAGGAGACATTGTAATTTTGAAGAACGAGAGCACGAAACGGTTATTTTGGAAAATAGCGAAGGTCGAAAAGCTTATTCGAAGTATTGACGGTGTTGTAAGATCAGAGAAGATCCGAGTGTTGAACAGTGAGACTCGAAAGCCTATCATCATGCGAAGACCTATACAACATTTAATCCCATTGGAAATTCGCTCGAAATTCGGTAACGAGAATGAAGAAGAACAAGTTGATGTGAATGAAGAATCATCCGAAACACAAGATCTCAGTACAGAACCATTAGACAGTGATGTTAAGACTGCTGTTGTAGAGAAGAAGAATCGACCAAAAAGAAAGGCAGCTGTTCAAGGAGAACTTGTACGAAAACTGTCAAAACAAACGTAAAAACATTAGGAAGATGTCCACCAGTTCATATTTAGTTTAAGTTAGTCATTTGATCATGTTTAATGATCAACCCGGGGACTGTGACAGATTACGCAACATTACTTTAAATTTATTTGTTATCGTAATACTTCTTGTAATAATATTAGAAATATATCAAGTTTCAAACAAATTTAAAGCAGCTGCAGGCAAGATACTCTAGTGGAAATGACAAAGAATTGCAAGTGTGTGAAGCCAGGATCGATTCCTGGTGGTATCAACAATTTCACCACATTGCCAAGAAGCTAGTGAAGGCTGAAACCGAATATTTTTTCACATGATTTGGCAATGCACGATTAGGCAGAAAATACTATCCGAAACCGAATCAGATAGACGATAGTCTAGCTGACCGTTCATGGCGTCGCATGGATGGAAACAATGGATCAATCCATTATCATGGTTGTCTCAATTTCTTTTGTCTTTTCAGGTTAATTTAATAACTAAATTACCTCATTTCGATTAATTTATACAATCTAGCGGTCGTTTTAGACTAATACAACCTTCAATGACATCATAGGAGGTAGTATTAGCTTCTTCTCACCTGGCATGCAAATATGATCTACGTACTATTTACAACATGAGCGGCCGTGTTGTATATCCGATACAACATGGACGCGAATGTTGTAAATGGCTTAAAAAACGACTCATCTTATGAGTTCATTGGCGAAGTAATTTTAAAAATAAATGTTGTCTAAGCCGAGAAAATCAAAGTTAAAGTTCATGTAAATCAACATGAATCTGTATCACATATACAGATACGACACGCTTATGATTTTTCTTTGTGTTTTCTTCATGAATTATTAATGAGTTGTTTAAATATAAGGTCAAAACAACATACACACGCGTTCAAAACCACAACAACTTTTAATTCAAACACCTCAAATAATCTTACATTATTGTTTGTTAATATACACGTTTACACTTCCGATATTACAATTGGAAATAAACCCATTCAAATCAAAGTTAATGCTTGGAGAACTTTGTGCTTGACCTTCAAAATTACTCTCGTAACACTCCATAGCCTGAGTCAGTACTAATGTCGCTACTGTCAGTACAATGTCAGTACAATCACACTCAGCAAACATTATTTCAGAACTCTTCTCTTCCAAACTATTATTAGTGGACACACGCGTTTCCTGTTTCTCACAAACCTCAGAATTGTTAGCACACGAACTTAGAACATCGGACACACGTTTCGTATCGTTTACATCCAGTGTCTGGTATTCTCAGTGTCTGGTATTCTGGAAATTTCGACAACCATGATATTACAAAATAATATCATGGTAGTGAGGTGTATTAGCCGTTAAGCCGCCCACTCGTTTCGGGTCATTAAGTAAATTCCTTCGGGCCTGCGGCCCTCAGGAATTTACTTAATGACCCTCATCCAGCGGGCGGTTTAACGGCTAATACACCTCACTACCATGATATTACTTATAATTAGGCTTCCAACAATGAGCAAGTGGTCTTGTGGTAAAATCTACAGGCTGTGTAATGTACCAGGTGGGTCTCAAGTCCTAAAGAAGCCGTTTTGTGATTTGAAAATGAATGCAAGCTAGTATACAAGCTAGACTAATTATACAAGGTAGACAAAAAATAAGGTGAATAAGTTGCGGCAGGCTTAAAACGACGGTCTAGTGGCAAAGACTACACGCTGTGCAGCCTAGTCCCAGTCGTTCTGAAGCAAGCGCGAGAAAAAACGTGGATGTAGTACAAGACTGGGACCTAGGTGTGACGTCACCCCTAAAGGTTCTTCAGAACGCCTAGCAGATTTCAGTATTTTTAATATGGCGAAAAATTTATATATACAAATAACCTTGTAATTACGACAATGTTCGGTGATCATGTTCGATGTCTACATAACCAAATTCAAACTGTACTGGAAATGTGCTCAATTAAAAAAAATTATATAAAATATATAATCGTTGATGTTATTTATACACTCGCAAGTTGTGATCAAACACTAGACCATACTGGTATACACAACTACGCTTACTACTTGACAAGTTTAAGTAGCTGAGGAGATTGGAAATATTTGCCTGACATAACTGTGTTGTCAAAACATTTTTAGTCGGAGACTCGGCATAATTTTCAAGCTTCTAGATAGCAGTTAATATGGCTTTATATTTTAGTAAACACGAGTCAGGTTTAGTAGCCTTAGAAACGTAGCCTATTTCATTGTTCCGACAGCATTAGAGCAAAACTAATGACTTAATTATAAACGCAAAGGAAATTTCCATAACATTTTCTATTTATGAATGCGGCATGCTTGGTAACCAGGTCAGGGACCACTTTTTTGAAATCAGGGACCATTTTACCGAAATCTGCTAGGCTCTCTCGCTGAAGCGTTCCGCACAGCACACCCAGACATAAAACTTTTAAGACTTATTTAAATATGTCAAAGCAGCGAATAGAGAGAGAGAGCCTGGGACTAGGCTGCACGCTGTGTAATGTGCCAGCTGGGGTTCAAGTCCTACAGAAGTCATTTTGTGACTTTAGATGTGTCGAATATTAATTATGCAAGTTAGAAGAAAAATGTTATGGTGAATAAGTTGCCATAGGCTTTCAACAACGAGCAAGTGGTCTAGTGGTAAAGACTACATGTTGTGTAATGTACCTTTGCGGTTCAAGTCCTACAGAAGTCATTTTGCGATTCGAAAATTGCTGAATTTTAATGATGCAGGTTAGAAGAAAAAGGTTATAGTGAATAAGTTGCGACAGGCTTTCAACAACGAGCAAGTGGTCTAGTGGTAAAGACCACATGTTGTGCTATGTACCATCGTGGTTCAAGTGCTACTGAAGTCATTCAATTTTGGGATTCGAAAATGGTTGAGTTTTAATTACACAATCTAGAGAACTTTGTTAAGGTGAATAAGTTGCGATAGGCTTTCAACAACGAGCATGTGGTCTAGTGGTAAATTAAAGAGTGCATTTTGTGTAATGTACCATTGTTGCTCAAGTCCTACAGAAGTCATTTTGTGACTTGACATGTGTCGAATATTTATTATGCAGGTGAGAAGAAAAAGGTTATGGTGAGTAAGTTGCGGTAGGCTTGCAACAACGAACAAGCGGTCTAGTGGTAGCGATATCGGACTGTAAAATCCATTGTCGTGTATCAGGGTCGGTTCGAGGACGAATGATAGAATAATAAAGAAAAAAGATGGCGGACGAAAGCCAAGAAGAATACAAAAGAAAATGGCGGCCTGGCAAATGTTTGGAGAAGATACTACCAATGAAATTAATCTTTAGTAGTAATCTTTAGTGGCGCATGCGCGGTAGACTTAGAATATGACAGCGCGCGGTGGGAAGGCGGCAAAGGAGGAAGGCCGGGACAACAGGAAAAATTTACTAAGGTTTTTCCTTTACTTTTTGAGCAAGACACGCCAGTGTTTTTCCTCAGATGTTTCGGGGAAACAGAACCCCCGATTTTTGTCCCACTCCGCATACGGCCGGTCAGATCGATTACCTGAGCACGAAGTCTCAGCCGGTCTTACCCGGACTCGATCCTTCCACCATAGCACCCGAAGGCTTTGAGTGGTACCACTAGACTACCTGGTCTATTGGTGAAAGCTTAGTGTTTTCTATCATAGCTAATCCTTTTTTCTGCCTTGACAAAGACCAAAAGGTCTTTGTCAGGGCAGGAAACGATCCTGACTTCACCGATATGCAACACTAGCCGAGACCACTAGATCAACGTGGCTGTTGCTTGTTAGCTGGTACTTTTGATTTTATTTAACCCTCTACTCTCTAAGGTGTCAAACACTAAAATGAATTTTTGTCTCGCAACTTGTATCGCAATTTTTTGCGACACAAGCTGCACGCGAAATTGCAAGGTGTATCTTGTCTCGCAATCAAAAAGTCTCCCAATGTTATTGTTGCAACAACCATTGCACGAAGTAGAATCAGGTTCTACTTTTTGCTACAATTGAGGCAACGCATTTTTAAAGCATTGCACAGTGTAACATCCCTCTTGTAACTAGTCTCGCACTCTCGCACGTTTTACACTGAATGGCTTCCTATCGGCACTTGACTGTCAATATAATTTGGCGCCAAACGTTTTTATACTATGATCATTGCAAGTTGCATGGGACATATTGCTTGGTGTAACATCCCTTGAAATGCAATGCTGAAATTGTCTTTCTTAACATTGCGAGACAAGTTCCAAGACAAGTTGCTTAGTGTAACAGCGAGATATATGTTGAGCTCAGCAGGGATTGATCCATACTTTCCAAGCATACGACACTGTGTTGAGTCCAGTACACTTTCTTGACTGTTGGTTTTTCACTTGTACCTTTTTTGTACAAGTGAAAAGACAACAGTCAAGATAGTGTAGTGGACTTAACACAGTGTCGTATGCTTGGAAACCATGGATCGATCCCTGTTGAGCTCAACATTCATTTCAGTGTTTGACTGTAGGACATGAACCACAATGGTGCATTACATAGCGTGTTGTCTTTACCACTAGACCACTCGCTCGTTGTTGTAAGCCTACCGCAACTTATTCACCTTATTTTTTGTCTAACTTGTATAATTCAACCATTTTCAATTCGAATTACAAAATTACTTCTGTAGGACTTTAACTTGTAGGACTTGTAAAACCACATTACACACCCTGTAGTCTTTAATACATTACGCAGCATGACGACTTTACAGACCTTTACAACTGCACCACAAGCTCGTTGTTAAAACCCAATAACAAACTTATTAATATAAAATAAAGGTTTGTCCATTACTTTGCCTTTTTTAACCACTTTTCTAAAAGTTAACCAACCTCAAATTGCCTGTCAATAACTAACATTTCTATATCGTCAGATAAAGACATTTCTAGACTATCATGTCTATTGATGATTGTTTCAACACATTTCTTTATCGTCAGATAAAAACATTTCTAGACTATCATGTCTATTGATGATTGTTTCGGATATTTTCTACCTAATCGTGCATTGCAACGTTATGTGAAAAAAATATTCGGTTTCAGCCCTCACTTCAATCTAGCAATCTGGTGAAATTGTTGATATCACCAGGAATCGATCCTGGCTTCACACACTTGCAACACGTCGACCTCTCCACTAGACCATCTCGCCTACAATTGCTCAAACTCTTTTTTTATTGTACTTAACTCATTCTCATCTCGGGTGGAATTAACAACGATGTCTGACATTGAAAACGATTTTACAACACCAGAGGACTACCACTCGACTAGTAGATCTATACAGTGGTGGTAACAATACTAATAATATACATAAAGATATTACTCGACTGTGATTGGTTAATTTCAGTGCAGTTAATCCCAAACAGTGCAATTTTCTGTAATCACAGTGCAATTTTCTGTAATCACAGTGCGAAAGCTGTAACAAACTGATCTAATTGGTGGAAAAACATTGTGATGATTAAATCAACCAATCAGTTTAAAGCAATTTAGTTTAAAGAAGTAACGGTCACAGATTGCTTCAAAACAAAACAAAACAAACATGGCGCTGCACTACACAAAGTAAAAGTTGCCTTCGCGTGGAAATTATGGCTTTTATCTTTATTTTTAAATGGAAAAGTATTTACCTTAGCGTTGTATAATGTGATATAACAAAGCCACGAAAAATTTGCCAGTGGGACGTTCGCTATAAACGCGTAAGTTAAAACTACAATTGTATAGTTGAGTGGAATTTTCAAGCTGTTAGCGTTGTATAATGTGATATAACAAAGCCACGAAAAATTTGCCAGTGGGACGTTCGCTATAAACGCGTAAGTTAAAACTACAATTGTCTCGAACATTTTTATGTAAATTATTAATAAGTAATAGCATGGTTTCTCGTGAAATTTTGATAAACATGCACTCGTGAGTTTTTCAAAGACCTCAAATAGCACTCTTCCTTTGGCTTCGGACTCGTGCTATTTTGAGATCTTTGAAAAACTCACTTGTACATGTTATATCCAAATTGCACTCCAAACCATGCTATTACCTATACTAATTTCTACATAATCTCTCATCGCCATTATCTCATCATATTGGGGGATTTATCAATTTTAAAAACATTCTTAATAAAATTATCGTGTTATCATGACAACTACTTCAAATACTTCATGTTCGGAAAATATAATGGTTTTCCCAGCAAGGCAAGGCAAGAGCGGCGGAGAAACAGACGTCTGCGGTCAATCAATACTAATGCCGTACAGTCGCCCCCGCATAGCGGGGGGCGGAATATGATTGGTTGAAATTTTCCTTTGTGATCACGCCGAAAATTGCATAAATTACATTGTTATGTATAATAATTCATAGTTGCTTTGCGTCCGCCATCTTGGTCTTGACATTCTTTTAATAATTTTAAATTAATTATGCAAAACACTGCTTACGTAACTGTACGGCATTAGTGTTGATTGATCGCAGACTGTTTACCCGCCGCTCCAGTGGGAGTCGACTAAGATCAGTCTGCTATCGCAGACTAGTATTTCTAGTCTAATCTTAATCTGACCGCGATCTATCCCTAATCTAAACTTGACGACCTTGAACTTCGTAGCCACCGAATAGCTTACCAAACTGTAAGATTGTCTTGCAAATTGTTGCAAATTGCAAATTTGCAAATTGTCTTGTCATATGATTGCATATCGTGGCAACGAATATATATAAATAAATAAATATATATATATATATATATATATATATATATATATATATATATATATATATATATATATATATATATATATATATATAATATTAATGAGCCCAAAGATGATCAAATTTT